GTGTGACTTGTGTTAGTAATACCACCATGTCAACATGCAGTGGGCTGGTGTGAAGCCCCCTGATAGGTGACCAGCTATCGGCTGCCCACAGGGTCAGGTCAGAGGTCCTTCCTCTCACTTGTGCTGGTAAAACCCCTGGAGACACAGGCAGACACTGACTTTCACACCCTGAAGGTTATTACTGTATGGAAACAGCATCTCATTGTTAGGAAAAGGAGAATTAAAAGATAAAAGTCAATTAGCCGCCTTCCTCTGTGTCTGGCAGCCTATTAGCTAATTTACTTACTGTTGCCAATCAGAGCCCTCGTGGTTGTTGCCCCAGTGGGTCAAAGCAATTTGCCTCTGTTCATAAACAGCCCATATCATTCATCCCCCCATGCTGGGATCTGTCTCTGCTTTACAGCCCAATATGTCTTGTTGTCATCGTACACAGCTCTGATTTGTGGGGGTTGTGTCTGCATGCAGGAGAGGAAGTGTTTTGTATTGCTGTTACCGTTTCATTTGATAGACTGCACATTCTCTCTTTGTTCATAGTATTTCTCTGCGAGAAGAGCGTGTTTTTTACACCTGCCTTTTAAGTGAATGTTGTGAAATAATAATGGTTATTATCAGTGGAAAAACACAACGCAGCACAGGGCAAAAAAAGAGGCACTTTGCTGTAATACAATTTCATGTTTGGCTAGATTTTATATAAATTAAGTTTTTAAAATTACTTTAGTATTTATCCTGCAGTAGGATGGAAAAACCTCAGTAACAGCTTTGATGCTGGTGCCAAAGACTGCTGAAGCCGTTATGTAATTTCAAAAAGGTAAATCAGTGCACTAAAAGGGAAAAGAAAGACAGCTTTGAGAAAGGAGGCAGCTAAATCTTTCAAAAATACAGGGGAATGAACACAACTTACTTGCTACAGAGGGGATTGATATTGATATGTAACTTGGTTAGCTAGTTAATATTATAATAGTTAGCATGCTGATAATTAAAGCAGAATGCCAAAACTGCAGTTCCTTGAATGGCCACTTGAGGCTGGCTCCAAGAGTGAGTCAGTCCCCACAGACCCTTGTGTTGAAATGCCCAACTTCACAGTAGAAATAAACATGTTTACAGCGTGGTACAAAAAATGGTTTTGGTCTCTGTAGCTAACTTCCCTATTCATTCGTGTGACAACGTTGGTTAGGTAAGGTAACCATGGCCCCAGATTCACAGAGAAGGCCTTTAGGCGTACATGTAGGCGTAGCTACTTCAGTCTGTTTTCAGTTTATGAAAGTTAAAAGCCTAAAAAAAATACTGGTCAGCATTTGGTTGTACTAAAAGTGCTGATGTTTGGCTCTTTCAATGAATGCATTTTGATTTAATTATTTTTTTTTAATAGCAAAAATTAACATTAGCATAATCACAGTTAACCATAGACTAGAAATTAGCAGTCCTAACCAAGCTAGCAGTTAGCATTAGGGTTAGCCTCATCTTCTCATCCAAGTATGATCCCTTCTTGCACCAAAAATCCAAAATGGTAACGATCAAAATGCCAAACTCAAGTCCTCAAAATGTCCACAAACCAATGGGTGTTACGTCCCTTTTTTTTTTTTTTTTTTACAGTCAGTGGTTTAAGCCTTTTTGTAAACATATGGATTGTGCATTTAAGTTTTTTCAAGTTTTCATGGGATACTTCCATGGTTCCAAGAAACTGGGCAAACACTTATTCACTTTAATTCAGTAATAAAGCAGGATTTTGGTGAGGTCTACTTCTTGGAACACAGTAATCCTTTCTCGGTGTGGGGCCCAGAGTGAGACAGCTTTCCACGTTGTCTAATTCCCAGAGTGTAATGGAGACCTAAAAACTGTGACAGAAATGATGTTCTATACTTTTCTAAAACCTTGTTTGTCGTTTAGAGTAAAAGCTTCACAAAGAAATTTCAGAATGTGGAGAAAAAAGGGTTGAAATACACTGAGATGTGAGATTGTCCAGCTTTAATGCATTATAAACACCTGATTGATGACTTGTACAGGCGTGACAATGGATGCATTGAAGAGGGAAGGGGCCCTCTTGAGCTTCATATGTACAGGGCTCATATTTTTATGCTAAGCCGCTGATTAGTCGTGAATAAAACTCTAATACAGAAAGATAGAAACAGTTGAGAAGAAAAGTTGCAGACGATGAACTCTCTCTAACCCTTCTAAAATAACTGCAATGGATACAGGGATGTCCGTGAAACCACCACAGAGCTCCTCTGATGGGACAGGGAGAGACAGGTGGAGGTGAATAATCATCAGGCATAAAGTGACACCTTCCAATATGGCTGACACTAGAGGATGAGTAGGAGGATACAGGGAGGGGGGTTTACTACTGGCAGGATAAAGCATTGGCACCTTAAAGCATCACACCTCAATGTATTTGGTGACAGCGTTGGTAATTACCATCAACACAATGAAAGAGTGACAGCAATATACACATGGCAAAAGCTGAGTCACTTTCCTTCTCACTGGATCCTCAGGCGGTTACAAATGTTAACAGGGAGACTTCCTTGTTTTGCTGCCACAAACTCATCAGCAGATGGTGTTGTAACCCAGGATTAACATGACTTTCACATATGATAGCAGCAATTTAGAACAACTCATGTTAGATCAACCAGAGAGGGAATGTCAAGCTGCCTATCAATAAAACGTGGCATTATGAGTGCAGGACAGATGGTAAATGATGATCATATGCGGATAGAGGTGGGAATATCGTGGGTCTCTGTAGGAAGTGGAGCTCAAGTGGAATTATAATGAGTGGCACATGGGTGCAGTTATGAATGATTTGAACAGACTGTAGCTCATCAAAAAAACATGTGTGGACTGATTAAAGAGAGTTAGAACATGCCAAAGGTCCCTACTTCTCATGCATATTGACTTATCTCTGACCTCGCCTTATCATATAGATTTGATACAGTTGTGCAGAGCCAAAACAACATCCCAGCTTGGCTTTGCCAAACGTATGTCAGACACTCCAGACACCCATGTTAATGTCACAGGAGCTGTACGCAGCATACTAAGCATATATATGATTCAGAGTCTGAGCTGGAATTGTCTGCACACAGTTCTCAACCTGGAGGGAGCTGAGCCAGCAGCTAGCAGCTGACAGTGCTAACAGTGGCAACAGTGCTGACTAATGTGGGTTTATACTTCTCGGCTAAATAGACGGCGTACCTACAGCATGGGCTCTGCGTCAAGAGAGCCCACACAGTACCTTTCACTGTAGCCTGACATGCACCTCCTCAGAAATGTGACTACACTATCATAGTTCATATCATATAATTTACTCAATGTAAAATGCCATAGGCCTGTGCTTAAAACATTAGCATGTTGTATTTGTGGAGAAAATGTGTTCAGCAAAAGACAAGTGCTTTGTCTGTGAATGCTGTGAGTTATAGTGAAGCTTATTTGTGTACTTGTGTTTGAAATTGTCTCTATTAAGCCATGTTTAATGTGTGTTTAAGTGAGGTTGGGCACTGACGCTGAGTGATAAGACCTGGCTCCAATTCATCCAAATAGTGAGGTCAGGCCAGGCTCTGTGCAGACCACTCAAGTTCTTCTACACTTCTTCTACAAAGGGCTCTGTCATGTTAAAACAGGAAAGTGACCTCTCTTAAGTGTTGCTACAAACCTGCAAACATGCTAATGTCTAAAATATGATTGCATGGCATGCTGTTGCACTGAGATTTATCTTAATTGGAACTAACCAACAGCAGAGTAGTATACACCTTTGGCCAGACAGTGTAGAACCAGTTACCAGGACACATTTAAAGGGTTAGTTCACCCAAATTACAAAAATATACTGCATATAGATTGTTTTAATTTATATCTAGTGGTATCTAGCCATGCTAATACATGTCCACGTTTTGAAATACATATGTAACTTCTTCTAATTAAAATAATGGTGGTCAAAGGAGTTTTATTTGTGGTATTAGCAGGATTGAAAAAAATATGTTTAAAAAAATCTGTAGCAGTTTGTTTTGTGAGCGATAATGTCACAGCTACTCTCACAATCCAGGTATTTCACTGTAGTGTTGTCACAAATATGATGATTTGATTTAGTGACATACATACTGATTCTGAATATTGATTTTTTTTTTTTTTAAATATACATTTTCTGCAGTATCGATACACCACTACAGTACCAGCAGCACTTTCTTGCTCCCCTTACTGTTAAGATTTACTATGGTCGTTCTAACAATGACCAAACATTCCCCATGGTCAAAAATGGTTTTGAACATTGATATTTTTCAGGGTATTGGATAGCACTTTATTTGAACAGTCCACCTACAGTTAGTTTACAGAGTATTTGTGACATTTTAACAGCTTATTGGTTGAGATTCAACAATTCAAATGTTTCGCTTTGTCTGTAGATGTTAATCTAGAGAGCATAGAGTTTGAATATAGAGTATAGAGTTCAGCCGAATAATTCTGAGAATATGTAAGTATATTCATGAATTATCACACATACTTTATAGATAATCTGCTAAACATCTGCAGACAAATACAGTGGAATAAGATGTTAAAATGCTACTAATGATCTATAAACTGTCTGTAGGCCAACTGTCCAAATAAAGTGTTATCAGGTATTGTGTCGTGGTTTGAAATACCAGTAATGTGGCAACACTGCTTTGTTGTGCAGGTTTTATACTGATGTTTTTTTTTTGGTAGTTGTAGTTTTAATGAAAATGGTCACAGTGAAGTTTGGGTTGGTAGAAATCTCAGAGACATATATCACAAACTCTGACCAGATAAAACCAAAACTATCTGCAAAGTGACAAATATGGTTGTGTTGTTATTATGGTGAACTGGCCTTTTAAATAACAGTTTCAAAAAGAGAGAAATAATCACTGTATGACATGTCTGATTTACATTGAGCTGACTACTTCACATCACCACACAACCTGAAACTACAGACAGGCCACTTCTGTCCTCTGCTGGTGGTGTTAGGAGTCACAGAGGAGAAATAAAAACACCACAGACAAAAAATGTTACTTAAATGTTGTTTGTGTTTTATTCACCCCCTCTTTCAAATGTGCTATAGACAAATGCACCCTGTACACATCATCATCAGACACTGTTGGATATCATTTATCCCGTCGACTTGTCAGAAACCACGTGAAATGTTGACATCATCATCAGACCAGACAACTTGTTCGGTATTGGAGGTGGGTACAGCATAACGTTTAGTGCATTTATTGCATCGTAAAGCAGACATATAAATGATAGTAGTGCAATTATACCCCATCATAACTGAGGAGATACCTTGATAGTCTCAGCTAGTGTCTCGTCAGTGCTAGACTTTGTATTGCATACAGAATTTAGGCAAGTGAAACGCAATAGGAAATGATAATTGTAAAAAATTGTGCTTTGGACGTCCAAAGAATAATTCACTTTTTGTAGAAATTTCCTGCAATAAAAATTAAGCAAATAGAAGGAGTTGAAATCTGTATTTTTTATTATCGAAAGAAGGTACTGTGCTCTCTGTGTTTCATCAAGTAGAAGTTATGTATCTCAAACCTGGTCCTTCAGAAATGAATGTGGGTGTCGGTGGAAGCAAACTTTACGGTGGTCCTAAATAACTGCAGTGCATCATTCTAAAACGAGAGGAACATACGGATAAACACATGCTTTCTGAGGCATTGAGTATAGAGTTGTGTACTGTGACTAAAACCCTTCTACTTCCTGTCAGCATTTATTGTTTCTGTGCAATTTGATAATAATAATAATAATAATAATAATATAATATCTGCATATTGAATATACAGTATGTACAATTAAGCCTTGATATATGTGACTGATTATGTACTCTGAAGAGTGAATGGCTCATGTGAGGATGGTCCTAAAAAGCCCTTCTGATGAAACAGGAATACAATATGTCATGCACATACATTAGATTATTTACATGTGTGGTATGTCAGCTGAAGTCTATAGTTTATATGGTAAAAGCAGATGCATGAATGAAGAGAATCTCAGTTAAGATGCATTCGTTTTTGTGAGTACTGTACGATATGGAGGCCGGTAGATGATTAAATTAACACAAAAGAGACGGTGGGTGGCTATGTGAAGTTTGGAAGTTTTTGGTATTTGCAGCAAAGACATTTAATAAGTCCTACAACTGGAAGTTGTATATATAACTAGTGAATGTGGATGCTTATTAAATGTCTTGTTTGCAACGGGCAGAGAAATAAGCAGTGGTGGATATAAGTGTAACATAAAGACACCACCAGAGGTCACCCTCCATATACTTATAGGCCTGCTGTACACATGCTGAGTTTAGCCGTTAGTGCCAAAAGATAATTCGATAATTTACTGGGCTTATTAGGAAGTGACCCTTTGCAATCTGTTGATGTCTCTTCAGTGGAAATATAGTCTTCTCTTCGCACAGTGGTGTAGTGGAAGGTGAATGTAACTCCTTTTTCACTTCATTCTGAAGCTCCATTGATGTCTATAGTCCACCCACCTCTCCAGTCACCAATTCACCACTGAGCAGCAGTGAAGTGTGAAATGTAAATTACATCACTGATGTGTTAAAACAAAACAAAAAATGCAGATTTTCCTGACTGCTGTTGATGTGCGTACTTTAGAGCTAACATCACCGAGAATTACATTCAGCACACATGCTGAGGTAACAGTTAACTGTGTTATTAACCTATGCGTCTATTGTCTTTGGAAATTTGACAGTAAATCTACTTGATGAGGTGTTTTCAAGTCACCTGGAAACCTGTTAAATCTCTCACAATTTATCATTTTGTTCTCCTTAATGTGATTAACAGCCAATGGCAGTTTGTGCAACATCTGTTTTGAAAAGTATGGTTTCTCCTAAAAAGGACAGAGTCATTTTTTTTCAGTCTCAAGCTTTAAGTTTTACTTTAAAAACCTCATCTGAAGCAGTTTGATGTGAAACAACAGCTAATAAATACGAAGTGTGCCAAAACTGAAAGCCTGAGACTGAATTTCATGACGTCTGGAACGAATTTTAATTTTTTTTTTTTTTAGTATAAAATAAAAAAAATCATATTTGACAACAGCCACACTTTTTGGTTAATATTGAATTGCATTTAGGTGATGGGATTTACCACCAAATATTTTCAAACAAACCACAGTCATCGTAAATTAGCCTCGCTAAGACAACGGACCAGCTTTTATACATTCACAGCTGTGACAGAAGATGCATATAGACTGTTGATGTGCAAGTATGTGCTTGTCATGCATGAGTTTTGCATCACTGTTGCGTTACAGATATGTGATCAGCTTTACTAAGAGCCAAGATATGAATCATAGATAGTAGTATAGATAGCTACTGTAAAAAAAAAAAAATAAAATGAAATAAAGGCTACTTGATAAACAAAAAGAGAACGCAAGTGCTAAAGGAAGAGGAACGTTGTCAACACAGGTGAGACCATGTTGACTCTGCTGAACAATTGTGCCTTCGAGGAAACATTTGGTTAAACTGGAATCTCAGCTCACAGAGAGCTGTGGAGATGGAGGACATACAGACTTGGGTTTCTGTCACTCTCTGCACTCTTTGGCCAGAGGGGGAAGCCAGGTGTATCAGAGAGGAAACCCTGGGAACCCTATGATGGGAAGCTACTCATGTTTGTTTTGTGTGTTATACTGATAGCATTGCTATGCTACAGTTCTGTATGCTAACATACTCTGCCTTCACAAGTGTTTAATTTGCCTACAACGTGAGCTGAGTTAGCCTATGTGTGTCTTGGACGGCCACCCCTGGGTGTCTGATCACACATGGGCTGGCTCAGCTCTGCCAGGAGGGGGGTGTGACTTCCTGTGTGAAAGCAGGGAGTTGGGGACAAGGTCAGGTTGGGAGGGAGGGTGAGGGAAGGTGGCGTGCAGTGACTGCACTGCTGTACTGGTTTTTGTTACCAGTAGGCGTGCAGCTGTAGAAAGCGGCCCTGAGTTGTCGCGTGGAGGTGGGGGCAGGGAGCTCTTCCCAAGGGGGCAGCAGTGAGGTGGAGGCTCCTCTTCCAAATCTCCCTCCTCCTCCTGCTCCTCTCCCTGCTTTTGTGTCTCCTCTTCCTCCAGCTCACCAGCCTCCTGCTCTTTCTCTCTCGCAAGGGACTCTACTCTTGTTCTCCTCTTCAGTCTGGGTGTAGGCCAGAGAAGGTGGTGGCTGGTTTTGGAGAGATGAGGGCTGCTGCTGCCCCCTGGTGGCGCCCTGGTCTGCAGAGGGACAGATGGAACATTTCAAGGGGGAAAACAGCACCAGAAACCTGCAGCAAAGGACCAATGCTCACCAAAATAAGTAAGAGAAACAAATTCCCTCTCACCTTTGTCTCTGGTAGTGATCATTCTATCAACTCTTGAGTCTCAGAAAACTAGTGAACGAACACAGGAGGCAGAAAAGTTGTGATTAATAACACAGCCAAAATATTAATAAATCAAACATCAGTTGTGTGTTTGTCTTACCTGTTGGCTGGAGTTAGCTGAGGGTGGGGTGATCACGCTTTGGTCCAGTAAGGGGTTAACAGGGGCAGAACAGGGGAGATGCGTAGCACGCCAGTAGATATCCAGGTACTCTGCAAGATGCTCGCATGCATCCTCCAGCTGATTCTCATCCAGGATGACATCAAACATTTCCTGATGAGTCAAAGATAGAAATATGAGTGTCCATAACAGATCACTGTGTGAAGCTTTTTCTGAGCATATAGCGTTATGTAATTATAAAGTTTTAGGCTGAGTGACATACAGGTGGACACTGTGCTAGCTTGTCTCCTGCCATCATTTGGACATTGAGGTGTTTGCTTTGTGACTTCCCTCGAGATTTGATCAGCCTCTGAAGGACCTGTGAGATGAGCCAGAGACAGAGAGAGTCAGACAGTAAAAAAAAAATCCAAGTAATTAAAGTTATCAAATTTCTGTCATTATTTTCTTTGTTTATTTAGTCATATCAAGTGAGTGCGTCATGGCTAATGATTTTAAATCTGAATGAAGTCTTCCTTCTTTCAACCTCCTTTGAATTTGGAGAGGATTCCAAGCCCTTTCTAACCTGGGTGGTCAAAGAGCAGCACTACGTCATCATGAGACATGAAAAACAAACAAAAAATCCCTCCTGTCTGGAAATTCATGGTGAGCAGGACTACATAAAATTATTATTTTCAATACTGATTAATTATTAAATCTGTTAAATGTCCAGGTGCAGTCCAAAGCGACATCTTCAGATATCTTTGTGGAGGTGGGTGTGGTTAGTAGTCAGCTGCAGGGGAGAGGTGTGAGGGGATGGCTCATGAGAGTAGCACCAGGTGAGCTGATTGACACAGCTGCTGCTGGTTTGTTCTGATTACACCTCTCCCTTTTCATGCAGTAGTGTGCTGGCCCTCGGAGGGCTGCAGCCCAGACCAAAGAAAAGGACACTGCCTGAGTTTTTGGTTTAAAACTGAGTGGACTGGGAGAGATGAGCTAGAGGAGCCAGGCAGCCATAGGCACATGTTGAGGACTGAATCACATGTTGGTGCTGAATCTGTGCGTTTTCGCTGGGGAACTTACAGGGGTAGCGAGATGGATAAAATCTTATTTTGTCTGACCAGGAGTCCAAAACCAAAATATATTCAGTTTAAGTGACATAAAACAGAGAAACAGCAAATCCTCACATCGGAGAAGCTGGAATCAGCAAATGTATGATTTTTTTTTTACTTGAAAAAACAATCAAAATGATTTATTAGTGATCAGTTTCTTTTTATTTGTACATTTCTGTTGATTAACTAATTAATTATTTCACTATTTTAGCCCTATCTTTAAAGGGATAGTTCACCCCAAAAGCAAAATATGCATTTTTTTTCTCTAACCTGTAGTGCTATTTATCAGTCTAGATTGTTTTGGTGTAAGTTGTTGAGTGTTGGAGATATCAGCTGTAGAGATGTCTGCCTTCTCTTGAATATGAGGGAACTAGATGGCACTGATGTGGTGCTCAAAGCTGGTGATACAGTTGGTTGGTGTAGTTTAGTAGAAAGAAATAGTTCCTACATGAAACTGCTCACAACAAGGTCTGTGGATTATGTTGAGTAACCAGGTCATGATATCTGGAAAGAGACACTGCTGTTGAGTTTTTCAAATGTATTTTTGGTCCTTTGAGCACCACAAGCTGAGTGACATCTAATTCCACTGTATTAGAGAAAAAGCAGACATCTCTATGGCTGATATCTCCAACACTCAACAACTCACACCAAAACAATCTAGACTGATAAACAGCACTACAGGTTAGAGGAAAAATATGTAATATGTTTGAAATGTCCCTTCAATAATCAGCAACTATACAGGCTAGCATCTCTTTGTGAAGTTTATGTGGGTTGTGCTCTACTTTAGGAGAGGAGACTTTGACGTAGACGATGATGGGAGCCAGAGAAGTTTTGAGGAGCTGTGCTGGGTGATTGATGGTGTCTGCATCCAGGACGACCAGCTGGAGAGACTTGGCCAGCTCAAAGATCCTCTCTATCTCACTCTGGACCTCAGCTGTCAGCAAACCAAAGAAAGACGAGCAGTTGTATGAGACACGAGCAACATCGGTTACTTGAGTTTCTCACAGACTTAACATTAAAGAGAGAGGAGGCATCTATTCTTAGCAGGTATTAGTCTTTATTTAGCTGAAAAAGATCAAAGACAAGTTTCTCATCACTCACCCAGACTGGAGCGCGTGTTCGATCTCTCCATTATGGCCTTCTTGTTCAGCACCGAGCGCTTTGCCAGTGACAGATCAGCAGTCACCCGTGTAATAGAGATCCTACAGAAGAAGCGTCTCGTCACATCACATCCACAACTGTTCAGCATTTCAAAGGATGAGACGAACTTGTACTCTCTTGCAGCTAAAAATAAATCGTCACCAGCATGTGTCCTATCGACTATGAAACTTGATAGCTAGAATCCCAGGAACAGCTCTGAAGCTCGGTCACAGTGTCACTGTACGCTGAGCTGCAGCTGTAAGGAGAGCCACACAGACAACCGTACCCACCTGCCATCAAATCTGTGCTTCAGGAAGTCAAACAAGGCTTTCTGCATCATGTCAGTTACCTAGGTGACAGATAGGTGGAAAGGAGAGTGGAGAGAAGAGAAGCACACACACTTAGCCCGACAGTATTAATTATATTTCTCACTCACTTTTGATTTTGGTCACACTTTAGTGTTAATTCCCTTATTTAACATTCAAAAGCACTACACCAGTCTCCACTTACGGGTGCTCACAAGAAGAGTTATAGTTCACATATTATTCTTTAATTACCTACTTTTACCTGCTAAATATGGAAGCCCATTTCTGACTATGTGATAAAATAAAAGAGCCTGTAAGTCATTATAATGAGAAACTTTGCTGAAATAATGACTATCTCAAATATATTTCGTTATTATGACGTATGACGTATCATTTCTCCTTGTTTTGAGATATTTAGTCAATATACTGAGAAAGTTTTTCATTTTGAGATACTTATTCATAATTTTGAGAAAGTTTCTCACTACTGTATGTGTGTGTGTGACACAAAATTCTTATTTTGAGATAGCCTAATAAGTCATTATTTTAAGATAAGTAAGTCATTATTTTAAAAATACAGTCATTCATTTGAAATAAGTCACTATTTTGAAATACTAAGCCATTATTTTGAGATTCCAAACATTTCTCATGATCTTGAAATACAAAGTCCTTATTTTGAGATACTAAGTAATTATTTTGAAATACTGAGTCATTATGTAGAGATAAGTCATTATTTTGAAAAAAAATTCTCATTATTTTGAGACACGGGATCTTTTTTTCATTAAACTGGCAGAAATGTGCTACCACATTGTGCATTAATGTGCATTTATTGAATGTTTATATACAGTTTGTATATACTAAATATGGAGACTTAAAGTGGTAATGGTAAATAGGTAAATGGACCTGCACTGTATAGCATCTTTTACCTACTAAAAGTGCTTTAACACTATTTGTCACATTTACTCATTTACACACACGTTCATACACTGGTGATCAGTGCTATCATACAGGATGCCACCTGCTACACAGTTACAGTAAACATTCAGTCATTTACACACCAACAACCTTGCCATCGGGAGTAGTTTATGGTTTCAGTGTCTTGCCTAAGATACTTTAACATACAGACTGGAAGAGTCAGACTTTGTGATTAGTGGACGACCTGCTCTACCTCCTGAGCCACAGCCACCCCAATAAAAGGGAAGTGTTAGGTGTTAGACAGAGCTAGTCTTTGTGGGATTAATATTATCTATTTTACAAGAAAGACCAAAGGCCAAAATGGCAGCATCATATAGCTAGCACACAATCATTCTAAATATAATAGGACACAACAAAACATTTTTTTCACTATTAAAACAGTTACATTCCTCATGAAGAAAGAGGGTATTAAAGACAGTCACCGCAGATAGAAATGAGTCCCATTAAAGTCCTTCTCAAAAATGTGCTTGTTTTATTGTTACTTTACTTGGATGTTTGAGCTTCACTGTACAGAGTTTGACACAAGAAGACTGTTTTTAGGTTCACCTGCTGACGGGGGAAAAGTGTCTTTGTATCCCCTTTTTTTTATAGATATAGAGCAGGGATGCACGATAATATCGGCACATCATAGGTATTGGCAGATATTGGCTTTAACATGAACTATTAGAATCAGCCAACATGCTTTTTCTTCATTTGTAAAATGAATAAATATTACATACATTGGAAAGCATTCTATTTCATGTCTCCATCTGCTGGTGGGCCATCATGATAAGAGTATGCATGCATAATATGCTGTTAATTCCACTACAGAAGAGGCCTGATGATCACTAAAATTTGGTGGGGGAGAAAAGTGGATATATTGGCAAAAAAAATCCAATATAGTGCATCCCTAATATTGAATGCTCCAGGAGTGAGTTCTAAACCCCAGAAATGAGTTAACACTTTAGCACTACCATTTCCCTTGTCTTGAAGTCAACCAGCTTTTTGAATGGGTTTTTGGTTTGATGCTTGAAATAAGGTGGTTAACACAAGCTTAAGGGATTTTCACATTTTGTTTTATGACATAAAATATGCCAACACATAGCTCACTTACAAATTTGGCAGTTGCATTTACGCCTTAAAAATCATAAAAGCGGTGTTTTTTGTGAAGATTATCTTGCTGAACAAAACATGTGAGTATCACAAACATTTGTTTTCAACAGAGCTTATGTTCTGCAATCCAAAAGCTAATGGGAAAATCCCATAGGCTTTTGATGAGGGAACCAGGGCGATGCCATGTCGGCCTACAAAAAAACTGTGATCCCTGCAGCACTCTATGCTTGGAGGATTTGTGACATCACAACTAGTCAGGAGTCAGTCATGATCCAATATGTAAACTTATTAGGTGTGATGAGGAAACTTAAACTGTCCAGTGTCCATACACTGAGAATGAATTTCTCTGTGACGTAAGAGACGTCCCCTTTTCCAGTATTTAATTTTTTTAAATTAACAATATTGCCATATTCATAGATTTTTGATTTTTCAATGAGGGAGAAACAGTGGATGTAATTTTAAGAATTTTTACGCAAGCAATAGCATCTTTTGTGAGAAAACCCATACGCAGAGTTTATTTAAATGTCTTCCAACATGTGTGGAGGAGATTTTTAAATATGACATGGAGAGAGATTGAGTGTTTGTGTGAGAGTGTGTGTCTGCATGTGCACTGCAGACAAGCAGTCTATTTTCAAACAGTCCTGAAAAATGGATGGCCTTCAGAATAGGGGATGAAGCGCGCAGTGGTGTTGCTCGTCTACGATGTAACAGAGAGAAGGAGGAAGAGAAATGAGAGGGGGAAAGAGTGCAAGAGAGAGAACAATGGCGAGCAACCGAAAATAATACTATGCACAAGAGAGACAAAGCAGGGAAAAGGAGAACGAGAGGGGAAGAGAGAGAGGGAGACAGGCTGGCGTTCACCACTGGAGCATCCCCAAAGCACATCACTAGAGCGATGCATAAATATTTCACACACACACACAAAACAACCGGCTTGGCACACAGCCTGCGCAGTCACAGAGGAGAGAGCAGGGCAGAGAGAAAATGTTGAAGCACAGAGACATTCTGTTCAATTACACGCCTCACATTTCAACATATTCATCCACAGAGTCATTGGAAATAGACATATTCTAAGATTAATCGAGTTTAACTGCGATGTGTTTTCATACATCTCATCCCATATGAGTTACACAGAGTTCAGTGTAGGAGACTATCACAGACGGTAGCGAACATAAAGGGGCATGCACGCTGTTCTGTATCACTCAAAATGGATCTAAGATTCCTGTTGCGTGTGCCATAATTTCATCAGGATGTGACTGCGGTGTTTAGTATCAGTGTTAATGGGATAATGGAGGCGAAAGTGATTCCCTTCAGATCAAACCAGGCAAGTCCTACTAGACCAGACAAACTGGAGCAAACAATATCAAGCCCAAGAACAAAAGATCTGAGACTGAGCTCAAACCTTCAGATATGCCACATAATGTCACATATACATGGTGCATAAATGTGTGTTAATTACAGCACCATGAAGAAATACATTAAATTTGCTTATGTGCATTAATATTAAAACAAGACTACATTCTAGCAGCTCTGTGTGGATGTTCTTAGGCACAGCAGCGCTATGAGCTAAATGCTAACACTGAAATTAATAAAACACTCTCACAGTGACAATACATGCTAACATTTCACATTTCTCATGTTCACCATCTTAGTTTTGCGTGTTAGCATGCTAACATTTACAAATTAGGACTAAGACAACATACACTACACAAAGTAGAGCTGAGGCTGATGGGAATACTTTTGGCCGTATTTGGTCAAAAAAACAATTAAAATTGTGGCATGCCCAAAGGAGGCCCTGAGGGGGACCAAGGCCCCTCTGACACAATTACTGCCCCCTTAACTGGTGCCCCCAGGCAAAAATAACTGCAAGCCAACAATTCTGCCTCTAACAGGCTGTAAGCTAGGTGAAGCTAGTGGTATCTTGTGAAAGGCATCCATTGGTATCAACCATGTCAGTATAGCTTGTTGGGAAGTGGGCTAAATAACATTGGAAACTTAGACTAAATTTTGGCGAGGGTACAACTGGCAGGGCCGTTTTCAGAGGGGTCCCTTTAACTCCCACCTCAAGATATCTGAATGAAAATGGGTTTGATGGATACCCATGATCTGCTCTACATTTGAGACTTGCTCACAGTAAATATTTTGTTCCTTACAATGAAGTACTCCTTCAAATTAAAGGTGTGTATTTGCCTTTTTAAGGAAAAGGACAACCAGCCAATTTAAAGAACAATGACACACCTAACATGTATAGATATATACCACATTAAAACAGGACTGTTGTGGAACTCAAAATGTAACTGTGCCAGTGTTAGTCTATGCACATCATATAATTAGTGAAATTAAGTGTAACATAAGAAACCAACATAAATCGGAATGCAACAACCTTTATCCTTATATTGACACAGTTTTCAACTAGCCTATATGCTACAACAACATAACTGAATTCCTGAAATTAGGTTATGGTTTTTGGTTTTGGTGTGCCACCCTAAGATTTTCAGTGGCACCATCTGGCCACCTCTATTATTAATGTCTGCAGGCGCCACTTGGTGGTGCTAGACAAAAGGTTAGAGGATCACCAGAGTCAGTAAGAATCCTCCTCTGGGTATGTCTCCAGTTCCATGGTAGTCTACCCAGTAGATGTTGAGACAATTCAACAAACCTGTCATTCAGGTTTGTCATTCAGTCCACCACTTTGGTGGACTGAATGACAAACCTGTCCCTAGAGTCATGCATACATGCAAGCATTGCTAAAAAGTCATCAATTTCGTGATGTCAGGTGGTCCTCAGTAAGAAAATACTCATATGTCAGATGTTATAAGCTGCAGATGTTTGGTATTTTTACTTGATAAATGACTTTAAGGCATGACATGTAGGATTTTAACATTTTTAACTTTGACATGCCCATGTAGTGAAGACACACTGTGGCTGACAGCAAGCTGATCCATAGCAGAACCAGTCTAACTAAGAGAGCAGCTCTGATGGTTGTCTTACCTCATAGCCTTTCAGTGAGGGGCCCACCAGCACCACCGGCCTCATCGAAGGGACCACATCATATGGAGGAACATGTTCAGTCTGCACAGGCCACAGGCACAGGCAGGGTTTGAAGGTGGAAAATATACAACACGCTGAAGTAAATTTACTGTCATGATACACACATTAAGCTAGCTGCTCTGCATGTACAGAGCCATATAAATGCACTAAAATGTATTAGGTTTAGCAGTTCCTAAATAATAAATATGGAAGAGGGCCAATGGAAAACATACCTGTTTCTGCTTCTGTTTGGCTTCAGAATAAACAGAACGGACATTAAACAAGGAGGATGACCGCTAATGAGAAGGCTCGGGCAATAAGTTATTACTTCAGTATAACATATTTGAGTTTTAAGGCTACTTAAGAGTGTATTAACAAAACAAAGACATGCATGCCATGCTGCAGTAAAGTAACATTTACATTGTAGCCCTTCAAGAAAGCAGCTTTTATTCATTTATTCATACATTTTTGGCCAGTCAGTGGTCATCTCACATAATCATCAAGCTTTATTTTGATGTAGATGGCAGACTATGTTCAGAGGCTGACATTTCCAAACACACACATTTATTTCCTCTTAAAGGGAATATTTTAGCCCAGGCCTAGCCCTGTATGTAAATGTGACCCTGTGAGAGCATGCAGTCCCCGTAGAGGCAGAGCAGACAGACGCAGCAGCAGGACTCCTCCAGTCCCACTTACCTGCAGATGGCGGGGTGGACCTCCAGCCTCCAGATGAAGCGTTCCCTCCTTTCCTGTGGAGCAACATAATGCAAAGCTTCATTATGCGAAAAATCCCCTCAGGAGGCAATTTAGAGAGAAGGACTTCCAAAACAGAGCAACACATAAGCAAAAACTGGTTACGTCAAAGGAAGAAAAAAAAAGTTTTCAAAGAGCGTCTGAGACGAGAACTGGTGGAACTGGGGCAACACAGAGAGAGACAGAAAGACAGAGACAAGTAGAGGGATAACAGAGATCTCTCAGAGCTGTGTGACCTCTGACCTTGCCGCTGCTTTCTGCTCTTGTTTTATCCTCATAGCTTCAAGTTTGACTGGGCTCGGGATGAAAGTGATGTCTGCCCCTTCCTTCACCAGCCGACCAATCCACCAGTCATTGTTGTATTTCTGCGACACAGTGAAATGACTCAGGAGTTATGCAGCAAAATATCTTGACACGGATCAAGTTTAATAATAAAAGTCTTTATTTGTATGTAACATGCTAATCTTAATGCTGAATGCCTCTGACCTCTTTTATGTGCAGGAAGTCTTTGGTTTCAAAGTTAATAGCGGCACCTTGGACCGGACAATCCTCATCAAGGGCCCCACAGTAACTCACATTGGTTTTCACTGCAAATGCTACTGGTTTGGACTGTTGACAGACAAAAAAGACAAGAATATAAATTACATATATAACAATGTGCAGTATCACTGCCTTTATACTCGTGAAAATCTTTAGTCTAGAGATCATAATTGACAATACAGAAGTCATTTAAGTGTTTTATATATAGCCCAATATGACAAATCAAACCCAACCACCAGTATAAACACTGGCACTGCATGTTACTGCAATCCACAGATACCTAACATTTGTATGTTGTAGCTGATATGTTGGAACTTTACATTTCTTTATGTTTCAACAGTGCTGTAGTTAATGTGTGGTTATGTTATGGCACAAAAACCCACTTGGTTGTGGTCAGGAGAAGATCATGTTTTGTAAAATGCTCGCATCTGGCAGCACAAACACCGCTGGAAATGCTGTAATATATCGCTAAAAAAACAACCTTTTTTTTTTTGTTGGCCTCAAACAGCAGTCTGCAGCGGTCCTCCATCGGTCCTCCATCCTCTCATGACAAAGTTAGCTCATATATATGAACTTCGTCACTTTAGAAACGTTCATATGATATGTATGAAACTCACAAATATAACATACATAGGTTTGGAGAAACATACAATGCCAAAATTTTCTGTTAGCGGCTAGGCTAGACCTTTATCAATCTACAAAAAGATTAAATCAGTCTATTGTAAAGCGATCTCTAGGTGTTAACATGAGTCAGCTGTTTGAATGCTGCTCTGCTGGAGCTGAAGGTGAATTTAAAGACAAGCATTGACCTTTGACCCTCAGGCTCTCACCTTGGCTCTTTCTAGCTGCAGCTGAGCCTGGCGCTCGGCTTCACGCCGAGACGCCTCCTGGTCCTCCTCCAGGGACAGGTCGGAATCCGAGGGTCGACTAGTGTAGGAATCGGCTGAACCCTGGAAGAAAGGAGGAGAGAGAGAAATAACTGTTACAGCTCAGGCAGAGAGGAGACAAATCCACCACAATACCGTGCCTAACACCTTCTAGCAGCTGTTGCTCATTGTTTAGAATGATGACATATAGTTAAAGTATAAATAGCTCCGATGACGCTCCGGACAGATCACCTACATCTCCCTCTGTGTCTCCCATGTCTTTCTCCTTGTTCAACCTGTTTCTGAACCTGCCTGTCCTTTCCTGAAGCCATGTGATCCAGCCTGCAAGGACCAGAGAGTTCCTGCAGCTTTCCAAAGCAGCCGTCTCAGGGGAACATGTGCATGAGTACTGCAACAACACCAACAACCAGCACAGTGCTTGTCGTCTATTTATCCACTCAGTCAGGCACACCACATGTTGGAAAATGCTCAGTATTCAACAAGGAGAAAAAACACTAAGACACAACTCTGAGAGGTCTAATAATACAGGATAATGCAACAAAATCAATCTTTCCATTTCTAGACTTCAGATTGGTCTGAATCAACAAAGGATGTGATGTAGAAGTTGTTTAACTAGAGTCACTTCTAAATATATGTTTTGAGTTCAAAGTTTGTGTTTTGAATTTGTTTGTGGATCACTGAATCAACATGCTGTCATTAAAATGTATTAATTTGAAACTGCAAACATTTTTAAAGGTATAGTGTGTGGGATATAGTGGCATCTAGTGGTGAGGTTGCAGAGTGCAACCAACTGAAACTTCTCCCATGTGCCATGTGTATAACTGTGGTGGCTGATCAAAATGAGAAAAAACACAAATGTCCCTATCCAGAGCCAATTTTTGTTTTTTCCAGTCAACAACATGGCAAACTCTGTGGAAGAGGACACACTCTGAATGTAGATATAAACCAGGCCTCCAAGGAAGTGTGCCAGACTTCAGAGCCAATTTTCTTAGCAGCGAAACAGTGTAATTACGTCTGTCACATGATGCCATGCGGCAAAAAAAGGACTTTTTTAATATTGACGTACATGGTGAAACAGACGTTTGTAAAACAATGGGTACATTTTTTTTGAGCATCACAATCCACACAAAATGACTTGTTTCACTTTTGGTATTTGATCCATTCAGTCTGACAACATTTGAAAAGTCTCGAAGTTAGTGCTAAAAATAATTACATGTAGCCTAATCCTAATTGATTTGGCCCTTGGCACAACTCTTACTCCTTACAAAGAATTAAAATCTCAATCATCAAATACATCACACTTCTGAACACCCTAAAACAAACAAAAAAGCAGCCTCTTCTCTATGAAACACTGTAAAGGATCATAATAAAAACTCACTGGAGTACACTTACAATACAGACAGAGAACCTGTCACCCTCTTTACCCTTAGAACTTCCAGGCTGATAAAACTCTCCCAAAGCTCACCTCACCAGATCCTACATTTGTCCTCTCACTCCATCAGCATCCTGTTCTTCCCTGGGGGCTGCAGTCCCAGCTGGGTGCAGGGCTGGAAGCCTCCTCACATAGCAGACAGGAGCACCCACAAAAGATAAATATAGCTCAATAACAACATCATCCTTTATTACCTTTTCCCCCCCTATCTGTCTCCTCCTCCCTCTTCTCTTCCCTCCTCCCCACCATTTCCACCCCTCCTCCTTTTTTCCCATGCCACCAAAAAGAAAAACTGTTTCAGCTGAATCCAGCACAGAGTTTGTGGATATCATTTGAATATCAAAGGCTGCCAGAGGTGGAGCAGAATCTGAAGAGTCTACCAGCAGAAGAAACAAAACCTAATTAAAGCACTTCGAGCTCTGCAGATGGATGAAGAGGATTGATACTCTCAAGTACAGACTCTTCAGTGTCTCTTTAGCATTGACGCAATATACATTGTCTTTACCTACAGTTTACTGATCACACTTTGTAACGTTGCAAATGTATATTGTTTTGATTCATTGAAGAGGACCAACAGTGAATTCCTGTATAGATTAAAAAAAGACAAGTGAACACTAAAACAACATTCCTTTAAAGTTGAAGCAGTCAGTCTGCCAGTCTTTTTCTCTTTGTTACTGTCCAGATCCCTAAATCCTTTGTTAAAGCATCACACCGCTTTGCCTAATACTGCATGGATTCCCAATGAGCTTCAACAGTGCAAAATGCTCAGATGTCTTTGCTGTCTAATTTTTGGCTTTTGAGTTGTTCTAAACCTGCAGAGATTTCAATGTTAGATTCAGACACTCAGATATTAAGGCTAACATCTTTATATTTTTAACTATAATATTCTCAAAGTAGCCTCCACTGCTGACTAGGGATGTCACAATTACTTGATTTCACTATTAACCGCGATTTTAAACGCCACGGTTAATTATTCGTAAAGATTCCTCAACACCATCACTCTCCAAAGATTATGCCGCGACGTGGAACCATATACAGTAGGTCAGCGCAACTCGCATGAAACAAAAACAAAGTTACACAAGCGGCGTCTCCGAGTGATGAAGTATGGATGAAGAAGACTTATTCCCCCCCAAAAAACGGATAAAGTCAGCCGTGTGGGATCATTTTGGCTATCGCAAAATGACCAAGAGGTCATTGTTGACGACGGCTTTCCAGTTTGTAAAACATGCCGCAAAAAAGTCACGGCCAAAGGATCAAACAAGAGCAACATGATACAACACCTGCGGGACAACCACCCGGCTTTACATGCGCAAGTAAAGGTAAATGCACAATAACTGGGTTAAAATACGTCAATCTCAATTTATCTAATGTAACATTGAATTAAAAAATTATATGTTAGCGTGTCATTTGCAATTAATGGCGTAGTGGTATGATACGAGTTGGGCTTACAGTGCAACGTGACAAGCTAAGGCACGTCTCAAAAACTTTTTTGATGGATAGTTTTGCAGTTTGTGTGCACACAGCGTGAGGCTTTAATGGTTTTGGGTCCGTGTAGCTCTTTGGAGTGAGACGACAGGCAGAAACTCACATCCACACAAGTGTGGGATTTCACAAATGCTCGTTGTTTATTTTTACATCAACTTAAAAACACTCCAACCTTACCAAGCCTGGTTGTACTACTATATTTTCATACATGAACAAAATAGTCGCCACGTGTACTTATAACCATCACTGTTGTGTTGAGAGATAAAAGAAAAAGCAAGAGCACATAGAAATAAGTGAAACTTAAAGATCTATAAGGAGTGTTCATGTGATTTTACACATTTATAGTGTGAAATTAATTAATGCTTAATAATCGTGATAATCGTAAAACCGTGATTATTTCTCTGACAATAATCGTACCAAGAAAATCTATAATCGTGACATCCCTACTGCTGACAACAGTGTAGATATGGGTGGAGAAAGAGTGTACTGTATTGTAGGATGATTACATTACTTGTCATGTATAGACTATTTTGTCACCTGCAGTAGTGTCTTGGTCCCTGTTGCCCCACCATTTTCACCACATGCCAGATGTTTGAAGACAGTTTTAAAGATTAACTGTCTGAGCTTTCAATACAAAGAGTGACACAAGAGTCACTGATTTAATTCACTGACAAGTTTTTAAATGTGTAAAATATTTCTTCCAAATGTATGGCAAGTTTTACATAATCTCAAAGTGAAGAGGCCTCTGCTCCTATCTCTTATTCTCTCTCTTCCTTGGTGCCTTTCAACTACATGATAAATGCTTTATATTACAGCCAATTACTATGTAGAGTGTCACCTCATTGGTAACTCTGACACATCCCTCAGTGCTTTGCTGTTCAAAGCCATTCCCAGTCAGGGAGATTTCATACTCTTCTTTTTGTGTGTGTGTGTATTTATTCATTTTTTATTATTTCTCTCCGTGTGCATGAATGATTAAGTCAAATGTATTGTGTAATTGACCTTGCTGTTTGTTGAAGAGACCCAATAAGAAATGTGGAAGATTTTAAAATGGTTGTCGACTGAAAAGCCAACAGAACGGACTCTGAAACAGATCCCAATCATCTGCAACACCAAAAGAATTATGGGCACACTTACTTTGAGCTTTTACTAAACAGTTTTACTCTTTCAAGATGAAATTGCTATTAAAGGACAGGTTCACATTTTTTTCAAATTTGTCTTAAAATAATAATAACATGTCCATGTAGACATTGAAACAAATTTTGCTTGCTATGAACATTCCTCCCATTACTTCTTAGCATGCTTCCAATGCAATGATGTGGGGCAAAACCCACAGTTCTCATATATCTGAAGTTAAAGCTACGTTTGTGAGTTTTTTTAATTAAAAAAAAATACTTTTTGCTATTTGGTGGACACTGTGTCTATATTCACGCAGCACTACACACAACAGATAATGTCTGAAAAAAATCATATTCCTCCGTCTACTCTGTTGTCTTGTAGCACTTGTAATGGCCTTACCGCACATGAATGAAAATAACCAATCAGAGCAGAGGAGTCTAACGCAGCTGTCAGTCATGTCAATCACTGCTCATGAACTGCGGTCAAACTGTCAAACTAGGCAGCGCTGATCAAATATGAATCAAGATTCTGTTACTGCATTGCCTATTTATTGCCTTTGAAACATATTTAGGTGTACTGTTTAGCTGTTAAATAAGAAAGTTAGTACAGTTTTTGGGGGGTGCCTGGTACTTTGGTTGACTTTTTCCAACATAGGGGCTGGGTCACAAGAATTCTCATTTCACAGCTAAACAGTACACTAAAATATGTTTCTAAATTTAGTTATAATGAGAAGTAGATAACGCAGCAACATAATCTTGATTCATATTTGATCATTGCTGCTTAGTTTGACAGTTTGAGAATGGTGATTGACATGATTGACAGGTGCATTTGAGACTCCTGTTGGGAACTTGCTGTAGGTAATGGGTCACCAATACATGGTGTCCCGTGTGAGGCGATGTTCCAACACTCCTCCTTTTTTTTAACAGATTATCCGTCTCATGTACTTCTTTTAGAAAACAGTTTCAGCGTCACAGAAAGTTATTCTTATAAAAGAAACATTTACATTCGGGCTTCAGTCTGTAGTTAA